TCTGTCGCGGCTCTCTTCACATTCGGAAATCGCACCTTCAAGATGGTGGAGCTGGCCAGCGGCGTGATGCATGAGGCCGCTGTAGTATTGACTAGGTAAACAAAAGCATTCATCCCCAACATCTCAGAGGCACATTAGTAGCCTGTACCTTGACGCGGAAGCGATGTTTTCCTCCCTTCCTTGTGGTGAAAGTGATTCCAAGCCAGTAAATGCTAGTCGCTTCGTCCGCGTTCTTAATTCTTCGCGGCGGCATATGGGGCTTTGGAGCCTCACTGCATCACTGTTCGCTTTGCCGTGAGGCCATTAGGCAGGTTCAATTTAAACTCGAGGTTGTCGACTGGATTTCTGCTTTCGAGCGTTACGGTGATGGCACTTTTGCCCTTCGCTACCAAGGCTTGCTCCCCCGCCTCTTGGTCCAGGTCAGGTTGTTGAGACAGAGGAATTGAGGGTACGGAGGGGCCGTGCGGTAGACACTTGAGATCAGGCGATGACGGATGAGGAATCCAAGGGGGGGTACAAGGTACAGAGGGCACGGTAAGAGGAGGAGGAGGAGCAGGCGTCTCTAACGAGGCAGAAGGGGGAGAATTCGACCGCTCAGCTCCGAGTAAACCCTAACAGCTCTGAAGAAAGCTGGGCGCTGCGTCCACTCTGGGTACGGCATATAACAACGCCAACGGTAACGCAAACGACGGCACCGACCATGGCGCCGGCGATGCAACCAACGGCGGCTTCGACCATGGCGCCCACAGTGCAAGCAGCGGAAGGTTCGACCCTAACCTGGACGGAGCAAAGTGCGGCTGGTTCCCGGAACTGGTACTCGATCACGTCCTCGTCGAATGGCACGGTATGTCTTTGAATGCAGGCCATTTCACAATGTGCACGATGCCCCTGTCTCCGCTGGTAGTCCCATCGTGTGTGCATGTCTCATCCAGGGTCGGAGTGCAGTGCTCGATCTGACGCATCATGCTCGAGTATCCATCCCATCATGCACAGAACCTTGCCGCTGTGGCGACTCAAGGCTCAACCTGAACGTCGACTAACGGAGGCGTCACCTGGACGAAGCAAACCGCTGCTGGTTCAAGTCTCTGGACGTCGATCGTGTCCTCATCGAGTGGCACGGTATGTCTTTGAATGCGGGTCATTTTACCAAGTGCACGGTGCCCCTGTCCTCATATGGTGGTCCATCTGATCCATCGTGCTGAACAACGCACCCCATCATACACAGAACCTTGCCGGCGTCGTGTTTGGAGGCTCAATCTGGACTTCCGGGTATCTGTACGCATGCGGCAGCGGAATGAAAGAAACACGTACTCTCAAACCTCTAGCCTTGCTGAAAGGCCATAGTAACAAAAATAATTTAATCGTCCTTTAGCCTCGAGTCGGCGTCCAACTCTGGCAAAGGACACTCTACGTCCTGTAACTTCCATGTTTAAAGGTTACTGAATCTGTTAGGGTTAGGGTGAGGATTAGGGCTAATCCTTACAGCGGAAGAATTAAAGAAACAAGTACTCTCAAACCTCTGGCGTACCCGTCCCTGTACAATATCTTTCCACGGCTTAGTGACAGATGCGGGTGAGCTTTCTATTGGCTGCTTTTCGGGCATGAGTGTGATCTATTTATCATGCCTTTATCGAGCAAGTAAATCGAGACAGTAAAATCATCTAGATATTCGTCATAAGTGGCTGTTTCCCCGAACCTATGAATGCCCGGATACGTTAAAGTGTTCTTGTTCCATACACTGACTTTCGCGGCCGGCAAGTAGGAGTGTTTAATGTGTGATCAAACCATCGACCCCGCTCTTGCCTGGGGTGGTCCCCAGACAGCAGACACCCAACACTACTTTTCATGTCAATGTGATACGAACAAGGTACAACAAAAAAAGTCACATACGCAATTGATTTGACCTAAGACGTCAATATTTTAAATCTGATTGCTCTTCAATCTTCCCCCCCCGTTCAATTCGTGCCACGTAGCAGCCTGGAGTCATGTTCACTACGAATCTCAATTTTACTGCACCTCCACTTTGTTCACGCCGAAAGCCATGTCACCGAAACCTGTCATTGTGCGAAGGAATACCAGAGAAAGCCCTCCTAAGCCCAGTGCAGTTACCACGCCGTCGAAGGGCGCTTTTAGATAAGTAGGCTTGGCCTTCGTATCGAACATCTGTCAATATAGGACAGATATGCATCAGAAGGAGGGATAGAGTGACTTGAGGATTCTAGAGAATTGATATGAAATTGCGCAAACTTGCTTGTCATTCCTGTATTGACAAGTCAGATGTACATTGATCTTAACAATGTCTTTCATACTAGGCCTCGCAACATGTCTTCATGATACACAAGCTTCCTTTACCTGTTGCGTCTTTGGTAACTGGTATGGCTTCATTGCCAGGGGTCGGAAAATGCTCATAGAGCGACGATTCATCGATACTGCTCCTACAGCTGTGACGACGCGGCCCGTGCCTAGACGAGACAGAAAGTTGTAGGGGAGAACAATATGAGAGAGAAATCTTACAAGAAATATATTTACATGGCACGCCACTGAATCCGCTTCCACAGCTGAGTCTCCTCGTGACTTTGAACACCTACATTCGCATCCGATTCTCGAAATCCCCTTGTGGGTGATTGAAGGGACATAACACAACGCCAAGCATGTCACAAGCTTTTTCGGTGTCCCCTGCCATATCTCAAAGCTGTCTTCCGTCAAACCTCATCACTACTCCCTCTTCAGCTTTCTCCTAGCTTTTGTAATATACGATCTCCACCCAAGCTCGGGCCTCTAATGACCAGAGCTCCAGAAGCAACTAGGCCTGCAATCCTACTTGAGGTCTCCATCGACAAGAACCCTAGCATCTTGAACTACATTCTCACCCATTACGTACCACGGGCGAACGATTGCAAAGCCATAAGTCCGAGCACTCGAAGAAAGAAAGTCTGAGTTGAGAAAGATGTGAGTTCGCATTAGGACAGTGAGACAAGGGCAAGCAAGGCAATCTTACTGAAGACAATCCGGGGTCCGTCCCTCCTCTCCCATGCTCAAACATTATCGTTTCCAGGAACTGCACGAATGCCATTCTCGCCATCCTCGCTCAATTCAGACTGCCAATGTACGACATGTGCCGCACTGTAACACACGTCTGAAATGACAAGAGCACATCAGCTTGGGAGAGCAAATGCCCGCATCTTCCTAGGTGCGGAGGGCGTTGGAATCGGGCCTGGCAAGTGATGGTGTTTGTCGTCCCGACGCCCCTGGCCGCCGAGGCACGTGACGTGCGACGTGGGAACTGCAGCGACGCATGCTCGTGCGTGTGGTATCTGGTAGTATCTGATAGAAGTTGTTCGTGTTCCAAGTACAATTTTGCTTTCTTAAGTGGATTGCTCCAGAGTTTTTGCTCTCATTACTAAAAAAAACTTGACTAACGCTTGTATCTCCTGGGTATGTAGCTGCTATGGTTTGAAGTAAAAATTGAGATAATGAAGAATTAAGAGCATGGAAGCTAGACGACGTGCTTTTACTTTTCTTTGTCGTCTAGCTCCACTGGTTGTATACTTGCACATTTATTTATTTGGTGACCATTCTCAAGCACTACCATACCCGGACCTCAAAATTGACGATAAAAGTATCAATTTCGCTTCGTATTACTTCTTTTCTTTCGAGATATTTTCGTCCTCTTTGCCCCTGACCCTCAAACTTGCGGCTCTTGCAGCCCCCCAAGCCCCGACTGAATCGCCACCCAAAGTCGCAACCTTGAAGTCTACATCGTTTGGGAGAATGCGCCAACCGTAGAAATTGAACCTTGCTTTTACCATATCTAAAAAGAGGGGGCCCGCTCCGCTCATACCTCCGGCAAACAAAATGAGGTCTGGATCCACGACCCGACATAAATTTAGGCATCCAAGGCCCAGATAATCAGCAACCTCCTCGACAACTTGCATGGCCAGTGAGTCAGGCGGAGGGTCGTTGCGACCTAACGACAAAGCAGCCTCAAAGACATCCTTTGATGTGAACGGTACCTCGTCTGCTTCACTTTCCTCTTCCGAATCTCTATCACGTCTATGTGAGCTTCCTATATCGTCTTTTGCTTGTCTTTCTATATCTATCTTAGCAGATCTTTCCTTCCGGTTTTCCACTGTTTTATCATCCCCACTCACTCTGAGACAACCGGTTTTACCTCTATCTGACGCCTTTACCCGTTTTTTCTTGAACCCGAGCTCTTCTGCTCGGCGTTTGACTGCCGAGGCCGAGACGTACATTTCCAAACACCCAAGTTGCCCGCAACCGCAAGCACGGCCCCCTTTCTCCACGACCATGTGGCCTCCCTCCACTAAGCCTCGCGATCCGGACCACACTTGCCCATTTAAAGCCAATGCCACCCCTATTCCAGTCCCTAGTGTTAGCATCACAACGCCAAGCTGCCCTCGGGCGGCCCCAGCCCACATCTCAGCACTGAGCGCAGCGTCGGCATCGTTGAGGAGGACTATAGGTGGACAAAAGATTTCCCCGACGGCGGCGCCCCTATCTCTGCCTTTTCCTGAGAATTTGATGCGTTCCGTCATCAACCTGATCAAGGGAATGCCTGTCTTCCATTCATCACTGAGGTTGGCGGCGCCTCCCGCAGTAGTCCCAGCGTCTTTTACATGTCCAGGATAGCCCAAACCAACAACCTTCACTTTCCCCCAATCTACGCCGGCTTGTGTCAATAACTTGCTGGATGCTTCGAAGAGCAAGGGGACGATGTTTTCTGGCGTTCGCCCGTCACGTGCTTCAGGCAAAGGAATTCGACAAAAAAAAGGCGGAGGGGAGCTTGGGCAGGGAGGATGGCAAGGGCCCGTCGAGGCTGTGGCTGATGGCAAGGGGGCTGCCAGAATTGCGAAAGGTATAAGGCCAGCTTTAACCGCGGTTCCCCCTAGATCGATGCCTAGAACAAAAGCCACTTTTTACCTACGATGTGAATGGGAATATCGTGTCTAGTGAGCGCGGATGGGGGGGCGTCAAATGCAGGACTTGAGGGAAAGTCTCGCCAGACCGACCTTGGCGATCCGTGCGCCCTCAAGTCGGCTCCGACAGTATCGTGCTGCAGTCGAGGAGTGCTCAGGCCCAAAAACCAGTCTTCGCCGTCTTTCAAGCCACCTTCTTGCATGGGAAACTGGTAATCTCCCTCTGATTCCAAGTCAATTTTTTCCTATGCAGCGAGAGTGCAACAAAGAGCGCGACCCGAAGCCATTCCCCCCGATCGACCCAGGCCCACGCGTGGGAGGGAGCCAACTCGCCTACCTGAATGCCGCAGAAGCAGCAAGAACAACGAAAAGAGCATGATCAACACCTTGATCATCCCGCTGCGGACACTGGCGAGCCGAAATCAACAGCAGAGGATCACAGTGTTCAGATCTACTTCTTCAGCGGAAATCCTTGTACGTCGAGGGAGGGATACAATCTGGAGGAAGATACAAGTTTTACTGGGAGAACTTTGAAACTCACAGATAAACACTGATTGAAAATGAATACCCTAAGTCTTGGGGGGGGTTTATGCGCTCTGTCATCGGTCACGCCTTTTTTCACTTCCGCGCTTTTCACCCAACTTCCCCGTCCTCCCCCTATCTCCCGCTCCCACAGATGTGTACGCATTGTACGACAACCTTCTGTCGCTCCTGCGCATCCGGGGGCACGCTAAAGGACGCCGGATCTCCACACTTCTTGTGACCTATCCCTCTTTGCCCGATTTCTTCCTAGCTGACCCTCAGGCAGCCTTTGCCTACATCGCCAAGGACGTGCACCAGCAAATCTGGGCCCACGAACGCGCCCGTCATTCGCCTTCTCCTACCCACACTCTTCTCGTCGGTCATTCCTTTGGCGCCTACATTGCCAACCTACTGCTGCCCCATCTCACGCCCGTTCCGATAGCATCCATCTACCTCTTCCCATTCCTCTCGGAGCCCTCTTGGCGGGGCAAGCTCCAGCTCGCTCTCGCCGACCAAGCCTACCGACGAACTCCTTTCTTGGGTAGCGCTGTCCATGGTGTCACCTCTTGCCTCTTTGATTGGGTCCTGCGCTTCATCTCTTCGCCGTTCAAGCGGCAGAGCCTAGGTGGCGGCATTGATCCTGAAACACTTCGCGCCATTTTGCGTGTGGCCGCTTGTGAGCGTGCCGAGATCGGGGGCAAAGGTCCGGACCTTTCCCATGTTGACATGCATGGGGAGCGGCATGGCAGCATGCCCTACCTGGTGTACACGGAGGGGGACGAGTGGAGCCCTCGGTACGTGTGGGACGCCTGGCCGGAGGAGCGCCGCGTGGACATGAGTCACGTGCCGCACGCCTTTCCCTGCCACGAGGCGCATGACGAGGAGGTGTGCGAGACTGTGCTGCAGATCGTCGGGAAGGTGGTGGGAGGGCATGAAGGCAAGGAGGCTCTGACCGACACCCGGGCCAGGCTCTAGAGTGACGACATGACACGAGAAGATGAAAGGAGGAAAAAATGCGCGAATGACAGGTCGTTGATTTCCTTTAAAGCTTGTTGCAATCTGGTTTCTGTACCATACTAGCTGAGTGAAACGATCAGCTCATGCTCCGGACTCGCATCTATGTACACAGACAAGCCTTAAGGCCAGCCAGAGGGGCATAACCCCTTGAGCTCCGCCCAGGCAAGCAAGCCACCCTATTCATTGCCTTGCTGAAGCCTTTTGGGGCTCACGCAAATTCTATGGCCCCCAAGTGGTGAGCATGCAAGAGGCAAGAATGACTCTTCTGCTTCTGGGTTATTTTTTGCATTTATGGAAGTCGAAGCCTCCGCAACCCAAGGTGGTGAGGAAGAAGAGAGCCAGGGCCAGGCCGAAAGAGAGCAAGAGATAACGGTTGAGGCGTCGCCACCACATACTCTGTTGAAGGCGTCGGGATTGTCTAGGAGTCGGTAACAGGGAGGAAGGGCAATAAGGTGTGCGTGCCTGTTGGTATCGAAGGGCGGCGCGGGGAAACGAGGCGCCATGCCGTCTCGCAGGGCACATGGAGCGGCCTCACATTTGTTGAAGTATCCACTTTCACATCAAATTTTCTACTTCTCTTGTTCGCCCTTCACTCACCTCTTGAACTGCACTGCCTGTTGGCTGAGCCTGTCTGTTTTGTCGACCAAAAGCTCGATTTTCTCGCCCCGTTCGAGCACCTGCGTTAGTAAAGCCGACAACCCCATAGGGGGACAGTTATCATGGCAAAAAGATTAAAAGCTCGTTCCAAGTCGCCATGCGTATACTCAGACTTGCAACCGATCTCCCGGAAGCCTGCCCCGCCCCCGGCTGTCTCCCGCTCTCTCACCTGGTCGATGTTCTCCACCATGACGCTCTTAGTGTCGTCGATCTTCGTGCGCAGCTGCTGCAAGTTATCGGCTGAAGGATCCGCGTTGTAAAAATCCATCATGCTTTTCAGAGAGGGCGAAAAGGATTCGTTCATGGCAAAAGCAATCGCCTAAGAGGAAAGGTGGAAAAGAATCAATGGCTGACATCTGACGCCCTTACTTCCACCCAAATATCCTTACCGTGTAGGCTGTATCCCCATACGCGGCCATGAAACGCCGCTGCACTTCTTCCAGGAACAAGAAAGCCATGCGACGCTTGTTCTCAGCGTCATCCACCATGCATAAGTATATGAGTGGCGACGAAGCGTGGCCCTGCCCGTCGACCAGGTAGTGAAAGATGTGCTGATCGTAAATGATGGACATCTTCTGTCCGCTAGTGGCAGGAACATCCGTTTGTATCGGATATTGCCAGTTGAGGAAGATGGAGTTGTTGTGGAGAGAGGGTGTGGTTCGACGGGAATGTCAGAAGTTGCAACGGCAATTGCTCTGAAATTGGCAGCGCGCTCCTCAATCACACAAGACTCCTCACAAGTCTCACCTCGACTCCCCATTGCTGCCTTGAGATACACCCTTGTCCTCGATGCGCGCTAGGAGGAATCGCGTTACTGTTGGGAAGTTGCCGCTCGTACTCTGAGAAGAAATGTGAAGAGCCAATAAGAGAGAGTGAACACGACACTGCCGAAAAGCCTACAATCTCTCAACGCCTCACCGTGAACTCTGCAAGTACAGTTTTGCCCCGTGCGACGAGCGCGTAAAGAATGGCCATGGTTGTGACGAGAAGGAAACACTTCAAGTGGCGTGAAGACTCCCTGCTCGCGCTGTTTGAATTCCCCGCTCACTATACTTTGGAGCGGTACCGGGCAATGTTTGCTTCCACTTGACACCTGACCTATAGGAAAAAGCACTTGAACCAATACGGAATGAAAATATTGAGAAAGGATGATTAGAGGCGGGTTGGAAATGCTGCGCGTTTTCCCGGAACATGCGTCGCGGGTTCGCCTCTCCCCACTCGAGACTCCCAACGAGGAAGTGTGTCATGATCGCTCCAGGCAGCCGACCCTCGGATCACTGGGCAATAAAGGCCCGCCGGCGTCGCAGTCACGGGCAGGTCGGGGTGGCAGATTTTGGACTGTGCGCCGGCTGTTATCCATAAGCCGGGGTATCGACCAAAATGTGACGCTTGATGGCCACCAAGGCGGTACTTGTGGCACTGCTCGCTCTGACGCTGTCGGGGGGATTGCCCCACCATCACCGTGACTTTTCATGCTTATGGCTGTCATACGTCCACCACGCACAGGGCACGGAGGAAGGAAGCCAGAGTGTGTTTGAGGATGACTTGTTGCTGGGCCCCAATCCAGCTGAGGCGAGAAGTTTTGTTTTCTCCTCTTTCCTCAACGAAGCCGCAACAGCAACCCTCCCCTTCAAGGAGAAGGAGGAGGGCCGCGAGCCTGACACTCACAGCCACGGCCACCGTGCTCGCATTGTCTGCCTGCATATCGACCTCTTTTACTTCGGCAAGCAGCCGATGTGGGACGATGGGCGGTCTGTCAGCTTTCACCCAAGGCCCTCCCGCCCCTCGGATCAACCGCCGAATCTGCCGCGTTGTTCCTTCACCACTTAGTGCGAGTCCTTTGCCGCGTAACGACGACGATAGCAAAAGAAAGACAATAGCGCCTACCAGTAGAGCACGCAGCGGATTGGATGGGGTGGGGCTGACAAGAGAGAAAGCTTTGTTGGGTAAGCATCAGAAGAGCAATTTGTGACGATGAAGCGTGAGATGGGTGCAAGGGCACGGGTTGGGACATTTTTCTATTTTCTCGACCACGTTTAGAAGGTGATAGGGGCAGAAAAAGCCCAAAGTTTTTGAGAGCTTCGCCCGTTCCTGTTGTCCCGTGTTCTCAACCCTGTGGTGCGCCTTCTCCCCTTCCAGGGGCCGTCGGTGGGAGTCTGGGCGTATGGGGAATTTTCACAGCCGCCGTGAACCTGCAGAAAGCCGAGGAAGCTAGCGTGGGCTCCCGCTCCTTTGTCTGGAAGCAGCCGTCGACGCTGAAGGAGGAGGGGGGCGGTTTGAGCGGACCGGGCCTGAGCCTGACTCCCCAGGGGCTCTTCCCCCTCGCCTTCGTCACCTACCTAGCCCGTTTCCTCCTAAATTTCGACTCTTCCGTATCCTCATGGTGGGACTCCGAGGTGGTCCCCGCTGTCCCTTCCAGCTACAGTAAAGGTTCGGGTGGAGAGACGCTGCCTGGTCGTGGAGGCGGGCTCTCTCCTACATGCCCTGATCGATTTCTCCTTCCTCCCTCCCTCCCTCCCTCCCCCCCTCCCCTTTCCCCCCATCGGCCTCTTCACCCAGGCTCATCGGCTCGACAACGCTTTCTCATGTCTCGCTTCGGGGAGCTCTCGACCACAGTGGAGCTGGGCTTGGGCCCCTTCGCCTCCAAGGGCAAGGAGGGCGTCCTCACCTTCTGCCAACGTCTCGTCGACCGTTACATCGGTGAGCGCGCCCGCCGCCCACCCAGGACTTGGATGAGCCTAGGGACGCGCTCGGCTCCTCGTACTGACGCCTGTCCCTGTTTCCCCTTCCAGGCCCCGAGAGCGAAGCCTACCCCCGCGGCACTCCCGAGGGCCGACGCATCCGCGAGCAACTGGCGCTCCTCTTCTCCCTCCTTCCCCCCACTGCGCAGCCCACAGCCCTCATCAACGAGCTGCTAGCCTCCCTTCCTCCGCCCAGTGGCACGTCCCGCATCTTCCAAGTCGAAAGCCTGGGGTAGGTGTCCCTAGAGAGGAGCTGGAGGGGCCGGGGGGCGTGGAGTGGGGGAGGGGGTCGAGGGCGGGGCTCTCTCTTCGTGGTCACCTCCAAGACAAAGTGTCATCCATCCTCTTCCTCTCTCGCTCCTTCCCTGTCTTCCTTCCCTGTCGCAGCGCGGGCCAGAGCAAGGTCCTGATGGATCAGACCGTCCGTGGGATGGGCCAAGACCCCTTGATGCTCCTCCCCGCCCGCAACATGGTGCCTTTCGCGGTGGGGGACTCGACCAAAGAGGCGAGGGGCGAGCAAGGGCTCTACTACAGGGTCCCAGGCCTCCAGTCGGTCCTAGAGGGCGCCTACTACGGGAAGGGCAGCGGGGACGGCGCGGATCCTGGAGACGGAGCCTCTCCAGGGGAGCACGTCGAGGGCGCAAACGTCGCGCCTTTCCCCTCCTCCGCCATCCCCATCTCCCCCTTCGGGCCCATCGCGGCTCGGCCCATCATGAAAGAGCGCAGTCTGGATCTGAATACCTACCTGCTCTTCGCCCTTGCCGGGGCCGTGGGCTGTGCGGGCACCCACTCCCTTGTCGTCCCCATCGGTGAGGGCCTCGCTCGTCTCTTGCGCGCCTCGCCCTCGTCCCCCAGCCCGTCCTCCGCCCTGTGACTGATCCTCCCTCTTCCTTCTTTCCTCTCCCATCCTAGACGTTGTCAAAACCAGGGCTCAGACCAGCGGGGGCGGGACCTCCATCCTGGAGGGCGTGCAGACCCTGGCCCGCGAGGAGGGCCTGGCTGGACTCACGCGCGGGATCGAGCCCACGCTCCTGGGGTATTTGTTCTACGGCGTGACGGTCTACCCTGGCTACGAGTTCTTCAAGCGGGCCCTGAATAGCGCGGGTGAGGATAGGAGTGGGCTTGAGCAAGGCAGATGTGTTTTCGGGTGGGAGGGTCCTGGAGGCGGTAGGAAGCGTTCAGCGATTCTCTGAATGCTGACCTCTCTCCTTCCCTCCCCCTTTCAGTGGGCCCAGCGGCCGCCACGCAGTTCCACGCTCCTCTTGTCATCCTCGCGGGCGCTTTGGCCACCGTCATCGCCTGTCTAGGTAACGTGTCGCGCGCCGTAGCCAGCCTCTTCTTTTATTACCCCCTGCTCCCTGCGTGCTTCCGATGTTCCTCTCTTTGCTTTGCCCGTGCATCTCTCTCCACTGCCTGGCCCAGCTCTCAACCTTTCCGTCATTCATTTCGCAGGGGTCTGTCCCGCCGAGGCGCTGCGCATTCGGATGGTGGCCAACGCCGAGTCCTTCCAGGACACGCTCACAGGCGCCGTGGAACAGGAGGGGGGAATTCCCTCCCTGTGGGACGGCTTTCCGCCCCTGCTCGTCCGACAGGTAAACCTGAACCATGCTGCGCCCATACCTACGTGATATTATTCTTCTGTGACTTTTTTATCATCGTCGTCGTCACTGCCCCTACACTCGGGTGTCTTGGCTTTTTCTCTGCCACAGGTGCTGTTCGGCATGATGAAATTTCTGGTCTTCGACTCCGTCGGGATAGCCATCTTCACGGCGGCGCCCTTCCTTCGCGAAAGCGTGGCTTCCTCACTGGCCGTGTCCCTCTTTAGCGGGGCCGTGGCCGGAGTTGCCTCCGCCATCGTCTCTCAACCAGGTAGGGTGGAAAAAGAGGGGGAAGGCGATGTCTTGGATGAGATGAAAGTGGGAGCACCGTACACAAAATCTTCAGTATGGATGACGTTGGGATGAATTCTAGGTGCGGCTCTCGAATATGCATGCGAATATCCGTAAGCCTCCCCAGTCCCATCATTTATATGTCGGTCAAGCCCTTCTAAGCCAGTACCCGGCAAGGCGCGCGGGAAGAGATTTCCCTCCTCTCTCTCTTGGCTGATCCCTTTTCTCACCCGCCTTCCGCTCTCCCTTTCTCAGCCGACACCATCCTCTCGAGAATGAATGCCGAGGCCCGGCCCAGTGTGATGGAAGCCGTCTCCTCCATCCTCGCAGAGAGGGGCGTCCAGGGCTTGTTTGTGGGGCTGGGCACTCGTTGCCTGTGGTCGGGGAGCATCATCAGCGGGCAATTCTTGCTTTATGATGTGTTCCGTAACCTTTTGCACGTGACAAGCGAGGACCTGGCGCAATACATGGATGTTATCGGCTCTTTCAGCAATTGAGGGAGGGGAATGAGAAGTCGGGAAGTAGAAATGGAAGGTGAACCTTCGCCATCGGAAAGGAGCGAGAGCAGGATCTTGTATACATAAGAAAGCGGTCAGAAATATGGCGTTCACGAAAAGAACAATCGAAAGTCTGCATGGTGTCTTGTACATCGCTTCGCAACTGCGAGCTGCGCGCATCATATTTCATCTTTTGTCTACCCTCGTTCGAACTCGATTGGCAAGGTATGAGTGGTTACCTTCTTTCTTTTAAATAACCAGGAGAAGACCTCCGTGCAGATGCTTAGGCAGGACACCGAGACCACAAGGCAAGCCACATCCCTTTGCCGTAGGATATCTCAAGACAGGGTATGTTGAGGCGGACGCTGAAAGCGAGGAGGGGCGCGTCTTCGAGAGGTAAAAGTTTTCACCCTGACCCCTTCAACACGCAGAGATTGATCATAATGAACAAGTTTGAATCACCTTTGAGAACGAACAATTACTTCAATACCGCTGCCTTCTCTCGCCCGCAGAGGACGCTCTTCTTAAGTTTTCCTTGCCCTCCGTCACATTTATGAAGCTCAAGCCTCAAGTCGATCCATGCGAGTCTTGCTCCACATTCTCCCACGACCACAAGAATGTGCCTACCGCATACTGAGAGTACCGTCTCATGCATAGCTGTCCATTGAAGACTGGCTAGAGCCAACCTGAGCATGAAAAGGAACGGCAAAAGATAGATTGTGAGGCACACCCATACGAAGGCGCTTTCCCAGGGCCTGGCCGCCTCAGCCAGGCATACACGTACATGGAGGTACTGCCTCCACATGAGAAGGAAGATGGAGAAGACACCGAAAATGACAGCAAGGAAGAAGGCAAACGTGGCGGTGGCCTGTCCCGCGCTCTTCTCGCTGGCGGTGACGGCGTCTCGGCTGTAGTCGTGGGGGAGAACGGGAAGGAGGCGGTGGCACCAGCGACGCAGCAGTGTGGGTGATGAAATGATCGAGAATGAGCAGAGCAGGGCAAAGACTATCGTACAAGGTTGTTAAAATGGCATCCATCATTCCAGAACCCTGACTTGTCCTTTACCTGTGCGCCTCGAAGATGGTGAAGAGCATGAGCTCAATCTGTGAGAACATGGCAGTGCAACCAAGCAGCACGCCTGTCGCGACGGGAGTTTGGACTCTGCGGACGAGAGAATGAAAAAATGAGCTCTTGGTGTAGCTATCTTAATAATGTAGCTTCGCAAGGTCTGTCCAGTTATTGCCGTCCTCTTGTGGTATCACCCCCGACGACGTTGTCTCCCCTATCCTGTTGCGGATCCCCGTTCCTACCTGTTGAATACCAATGTGCCACCGATCAGAATAGCCAGCAAAACCAGCATAGACCAGATCGCAGCGAAGGCGGTGGGTTGTGTGGCGACAGGGGTTTCGCTTTTGGAAAGCCGCGAGGCAAGAACGAGGGCGGCGATAACGTACTACAGAATATAAAGTCACGGAAAGGTTTTGCATTATGATCAGACCCCGTCAACCTCTTCAAACAGCAAGAGACAAGGATTTCCCGTACAATTGTAATTATGACGTCCTATCATGCGAGACGTCCCCATTTGCTTGCATAAAGACCTACCGCCACGGAGACTGCCATGCATGTGTACCAGGTAAGCTTTAGGAGGCGCCCTTTATCATCGAAGATGCTCATGCTTGATGTCGCGAACCCGAAAAAGTCAGTCGGGACGAGTTTATCTACTGTGACGAAAGGTGATAAAGAGATTGGTGTGAGTGCCACACAATTCCTTTTTCGCACATCAGTGCTGCGCATTTGTCAGAGAACACCACGCTTGGGTAGTATGATTAATAGAAATAGGTGACCCGAGGACAAAGAAATCACGGTACTGTCAGGAAGAAGAAGCGATGACATTGTCGTGATGATCATGCGTAAAATAAACATGGAATGTTCCCTGTATGGCCTTAAAGGAGAAGCAGGTAAGTGTGCTAACGCGCCATGGGCCCGAGGCCTCTCATTCGAATGCCACCTTCGGAAGTGGACTCTGTTTGAGGCACATTTAAAGTAACACCTCCCTTGGTAGCACTGAGTCAGGCCAAACGCTCCAATTTCTCCACGCCAATAGCAGACCGATTGCCGATGCACCCGATGGACTCTTGATGGTGCCAAATTTCAGGCAAGCAAAGCGACCGCGGGCGAAGAAGGGCGAAGGCGACACTTTCTTTACAGCCCCCGCCAAAAATGTTGGTCAAATCGGACCACAGACACACATCCTCGTGTCGTGCAGACATAAAGATAATGTTGTGGAGTTCAATGCCATCGATCGAAAATATGCCCCCAAGGATTTTAGGGCTGGGAGACGATTTTTTGTTAACTTTCACTTTTTCAAGTGCAACTTGTTCTTTGTTGGCGCCATAAGTCCTTACGTCTCGAATGACACCTAATTTCCGTGATGGATCCCATGCATCCAACCTACCAACTCCACAGCGGCAAATAAGCCCGTTTTAAACACACAGTTTGAAAGGAGCATGGCAACTTACCATGCCCTCGTAGTGCTGGCCTCTGCCTGCATGCTCATCTTCCTGGGTACCACCACAGAGGCCACAAGCACAACACATCCCTACGCATCGTTCATTCATCTGGCCAGCGTGGGGGCGTGGTTCGGCATCTCGTTCTGGGTCACTTTCGTGGCGGGCGTCCTTCTTTTCAAATACCTGCCCCGTCATCAATTCGGAAGCGTGCAAGGGAAAATTTTCCCCTACTACTTCGCTCTCTCCCTTGTCCTCACCTCCCTGGCGCTGGCATCCTGGGTGCACCTGGAGGGAGGCCTCGACTTACTCGCCGCCATCAAGAGCGGCAACGAGGACGGCAAGGTCGTTGCTTGTCTGGGCGGGGCTGCTCTGCTCTCTGCATTGCAGCTTCTCGTGCTGGGACCATGCGTGACCAAGGCCATGGAGGCCCGCAACAAAAAAGAGAAGGTAGGCGCCTTTAGTGACACCGTGATTGTACAATCTCTCTGTCCACTCACTTGCTCCTTACACATTTCATACCGCCGCCTTCTCTCAGGAGGAAGGCTTCGCAGACACCACAAGCAAGGTGGGCCGGAGCCCTGAGCTGCTACAGCTGGGGGCGGCGTTCGCGCGCATGCACGGCCTTTCATCCACCGCGAATCTCCTAGTTTTTCTGGGAGCACTTTTTCAGCTCTACGTCTTGTCTGCCAAGCATGTCACGTTTGCGACGATGGCGCCAACGGTCGCGAAAGCCACCTTTTGGCCGTGGTCATAGAGGAGGTTGTCACGAGAAGTCATGAGAAGGGCATGCAAGGTGTCTCTTCGGTGCCAGGACATCAAATGAACTTGCGCAGTCCAAGATGTCAAGGTCGAGAGTTGTGTGTATGTTGGGATGTTTGTGTGTGGTTGTTGTCAATCGCTCTGACGTTCATAACATTGAAGTCCGAGCGCGTATTCAAGAAAGAGATTCATTGTAAAGGAATTTAGATCAAGAGCTCACGACTCATGTCCTGTTTCTTTGGAAATCATTGCTTTCTATTGCATGGGTACATTATGACGCGCGGTAGGCAAGCGCCTGAGGAATTTAGTGCCTGTATGTAGGCACCTGAAATTGTGATGAAAATGCCCCGCCTTCGGGGCAATTTGAAGTTTTAGTCCGCAGTCCATCCCGGGCCCCTCCTGTCCTCAAATATAGCTCATTCCTGCTTCACCCATCCCGTGTGGAAACGCGCCCCGTGCTATCTTGACTGCAAGCGGTTGCCCTGCTCGACTAGACTTGCTTTTTTTTTCCTGTGTTTTTGGCCTACATCTCGAACACCGCGTTCTCACCGTTTTGCGGTTACCTGATTCCCTTTCACAACCCAACAGGATTCCATGCGCCCGGGGGGCCATATGAAAAGGCAGGAAAGTCCTAACAACCGTACATAGGAGGGAAAATCTGGGCCAACATATTAATGGTCACGCCGGTTGGTCAATTTTCTGACCGATGGAAGCTGTTTTTGTACCGGCTGAAACACTTCACCCCCGTGGCGTGGACGCTGGCCCTCACCTGTGTCCTCTTCGGCCTCTGCCTTCTCGACACGACGCTGGAAGGTGAGCCGCTCCTCGTCCTCCTTATCTTGGGGCTATCGCTAGCTTTGTACAGTGCTGCCGCCTTGGGGTATTTGATCGTGTCGGCGGACACCAAAGCCGAGGAATGGGGCCACGGGTTGACGGAGCCCGAGCTCGATCTTCTCTACGACGCTCCCCGCCTGCCCCTGGAGCAGGTGGCGGACATCCTCGGCACTGACACTGTGACGGGCCTCACGCAACGGCACGCCTTGGCCAGGGAGGCAGAGTTGGCGTTAGTGTCTCGACGGAGGTCGTCGTCCGCGCACTCGGGGACGCACTCCCTGCTCCTCGCCCTGCACGAGGAGGCCTGGGGCCCCTCATCCTGGTGCACGGCCACCCTCTTAGCCCTCGCTATCGTCCAGACCATCATGCTGCCTCCCGCCTCCCCGATGCTGCCACTGGCTCTGGCCCTCATCCTCCTCCTCCTCGTCCTCTCCGTCCTCGCGATGCGCGCGCTCTGGTGCCTGCGCATGTGCACCCGGGGGCCGCGGGGGCGTTGCCCGCTTGGCCCGTCTCGGTCGTCCGGGACGGGGAGGTGATGGAGCTGCCCGCGGAGAGGGTGGTGGTAGGCGACCTCCTCCTCCTCACCCCGGGGCAGGAGCTCTGCGCGGACGTGCGGCTGGTGGAGGCTGAGGCGGGCCCGTCGCGGCGCATCAAGTTGGAGATGGACGAGTCGGACCTAGATCGGGTGCGGGGGAGGCTGGCAGCCTTGGGGGTGAGCGAGGAGGCGCGGGGGCAGGGGAGGATGGAGGTCCTGTGCGGTGTGCGCATTGGGGGAGGCGGGGAGGAGGGAGGAGGAGGGGGAGCGCATCGAAGGGAGGGGGAAGGAGAGGAAGGCGCGCGGGAGCCGGAGGACCGTGAGGAGAAGCGCCCGCCCCCCGAGAGGGGCTGGTCGCAGACACTCAGGGCTCAGCGGCCGCCTTCGACGGCCCTCCAACCCCACGTTTCCTTCTCCCAGGCCACCTTCTCCATGGCGACCGCCCCCCCCCCTCGCCAACACGGGCGGCGCGAAGGGCGGGCGGGATCCTGGCAGCCCCTCCAAGCTGGACGCGCTGGCCGGGACGGAGCAGGGGCCGGTCCAGCACCGGCGCCGCACCTACATGGCCCTGGCGGGCTCCGTGGTCACCCAGGGCCGGGGCCGCGGCCTCGTCGTCTCCCTCCCTCCCCACACGGAGATGGGCCGTCTGACCCGGCTGCTGAAGCGGGCGGAGTGGGTACAGCGGCAGGCGGGGGCGGAAGGGCTAGGGCAGGGGACGACGAGCCCTCGGAGGGGGACGTGGCGGCCCTCGGCCCCCCGCCCTCTCTCCCCCCGCCTGCCGCCCTCCACCGCCTCCCCTCCCGGGGCCCCTGCCGACGTCGCCAGCAGCCCCCACTTGTCTGAGAGGGACCGCTCTCCCCCCGCACCCGCCCTGGCGCTCCCCAGCTCCGCCATCTCCATTCCCTCCCCCCCTCCCCTGCGTCCCAGCAACCGTCCTCCCGCCGCCGCCCTCCCCTCGGATCCACCCCTCCGGGCGCCTCGACCGCCTCCCTCTTTGGCAGCGGCGGGAGGAGGATGGGCCGTGGCGGGAGACCTTTACGCTCGACGCTCTCTCCCCTCGACCCCGACTTGAGGAGGGAGACTCTCCCACCCAGGCCCGGCGCCTTCCTCCCCTTCTCGCCCACCGCGGAGCACCAGCCCTACCCCACCACCTCCTCCCTCCCCTCGCACCAACTCCCCCCCGCCCTTCACGACAGCTCCTTCGTCTCCGCTGCCGTCACCCTCCGTCCCTCCCTCCCTCCCCCAGCGGCTTCCTCCGCCCCCGCCCTCCCCCGCCTGCTCTTCGATCCCTCGCTCACGGACCTGGAAGACCTCCTCTTGTGGACCGGCGTCCTCGTCTCCCTCGCCAGCCTGGTCAGCTCCCACGCCCTCGCCAAAATGGAGGAGCGGGAGCCGTTGCTGGGCTTGATGGGCGCTCTCAGCCTCCTGTACGCGGTGGCCCCCCGAGGGGACCTGCGGGAGATGTGGCGTCAGGCCCTATCGGTGGGGGCGTGGGCGTGGGGCAAGGGGCGAGGGCGGGGGGCGATGGGCCTCCGGGAGGGGGAGGGCGTGCAGGCGGTGGAGCGACTGGCCTTGATGGGGGCCGTGGTCCTGGACAAGGCGGGCACGCTGACGCGGGACGCGCCCCTGCTCCGAGCCTTGGGCCTGGCCACGGGCCTGGGGACCTTGCGGGTGTGGGGGGCCGGGGCAGAGGAGGGTCTGGCAGCGCTCAGGGGGACGCTGAGGCGGCGAGTGGGGGCGGGCTCCCCGGGGGGAAGGGACGGGGGAGGAACGGCGGGAGGGGAGGAGGAAGGGGAGCGGGAGGGGGTGCGGGAGCGTGCTGGAGGCCTGGCTGCTCACCTCGTCCCTTGGGGACGAGGCCACGCGGAGGGAGCAAATGAACCGGCGACAGCGGAATTTGGCGCGAAAGGGAGAGCGAGGCCTCGGGGTCCACACGCACAGCGTCGACTCGCTCCCCGCCCTGGCCTCCCGGGAGGGCCTTGCGGGGGTCCTAAGCCGGCTCCTGAACGTGGACAAGGAATGGACCGGCCTCCCCCCCATCGACCGCGCGCTCCTCTCCGCCCTCGCCTCCCCGCCCTCGCAATCCACCGGGCCGCAGGCTTCCCAGCCCTCCGTCGTCCCACCGCGATCGCCCTCCTCCCCCCGTCCCTCCGTCCAAGGCGGGCATTCCCCTCCCTCCCCCGGCCCCTGCCCTTCCTCCCTTCCCCCGCCTCCCACCCAGTCCCCTCCCCGCCCCACAGACCTCCCGCCCGCATTGCTCTCGATGCTCCTGGGGAAGATCCGAGGGGAGGCGCGGCTGGTCTCCTACTCGCCCTACGACGCCGAAGCAGGGTTTGAGGCTCGGACGTACGCGTGGAAAAGCAACGGGAAGGAGGGAGGGAGGAACGGGCAAGGTCGAGGACAGGAGCAGGCGGTGTACAAGACGTTCTTCCGCGCGACGCCCGAGGCCATCTTGGCGCACTGCGACCAAGTGGCGGAATTGGGGGCGAAAAGGGGAGAGGGCGGGCAGCAAGGGAGTCCGAGGCGAGGGCGGGGGGGAGGCAGGGGCAGTGTCTCCCTCCACCCCGCCCTCCGTCAGTGCCTGGACTCCAGCCTTGCCGCCCTGGCGGAGGCGGAGGGGTGCACCCTGGTGGGACTGGCGGTGAAAGAGGAGGAGGAGATGTACGAGAAGGCCCTCTGGCGGGCCAGGGAGGCCGGGGTGGCGGCATGGGCCGGGGGCCCGCGGTTGACGCGGATTGTTTCGGATCATGAGGGCGAGAGGGAGGCGGACCGCGAGGAGGGAGGGGCGGGGGCTGCCACGAGCGGTGGGGAGGATGAGGGCGATTTTCCTACCCTGCCTCCAACGCTTCGAACCGCAGGGGCGAACGGGATGGAAGGAGGGGGCTGTGGCCGGGGACCCTCCATCCACGGGAGTCGCCATGGGGCCAGTTTTTTGGAAGCAGCGCCGGAGCGCTTGGACGGAGCTCGCTTTCTTGGCGTGTTGGCCTTCCTGGACCCGCCCGTGGAGGGGGTGGAGGGGGCTGTGCGGGCTCTGAGAGGGAGGAGGGGGCGCGGAAGGCGGGTGGTCCTGGTGACGGGGGAGGGGGAGGAGGCCGCCGAGACGCTCGCGAGGCAGGTGGGCTTGCTGGAGGGGCGGAGGGGGGGCAAGGAGGTGCTGTATGCGCCCCACGCCCGAGGCCCCTTCCTGTCCCTGGCCCTGGAAGAGGACGAGAAGGTTGCGGTGGTCTGCCGCGCCAGCCCGCAAGACCGGGTCCGGGTGGTGCAGGCGATGGAGGGCGGGAGGGGGGGGGGGGCGGGCGGAGGAGGAGCGCGTGGTGGCGGTGACGGGGAACGGAGCTGCCGACGTCCCGGCCTTGCTGTGGCCGTCCTCGCTGGGCGTGGTCTTGGAGGGCGGGGCCGCGGAGGGGGGAGCATGGGATGCCCGAGAAGGCCACCGGCCTCCGACCGGGAGGACTGAGGCCGAGACGGTGGGCCCGGGCCGTGGGCGTCGCCGGAGTATGTATCCCTCGCACCGCGTGGTCTCTGACATCGCGCGCCGCGTGGCCAATCTGGCCGTCATGGACGGGGGCTTGCCCGCTTTCGCTTCGGCCGCTGCCTGCGCCCGCCATCTCCTCCGCCGCTCCCAGGCGGCGGCCACCCACACACTGGCCTGTCATTTCGCCCTGGCCCTCCTCTGGCTCCCCGTCTTGTGGCTCACACTCAAGGGGGTGGGCGGGCCGGGGAGGGGGTTTGCTAGCTTGCCTCTGGTGCCGGTGCAGATTTTGCTCCTGGAAGGGTGCCGCATGGTGGGGGTAGGGGCCGGCTTCTATCTGACCGGGTGGTCGGGCGGGGTGGGGGGGGAAGAGGTGGGGGGCGATGATGCTGGGAGCCACCGCGACAGGATTCACGGTGTGGCTGGAGGTCGGTGCAGGGGGCCTTCCTCGAGTGCCCGCGAGGTCGGCAGCCACGTATCCCTTTCCTCCTCCGCCTCCGCCTCGTCCCACCGCGATCGAAATTTCCTCCGTCCTCGCCACATTTTGCTCGTCATTGCTGGGATCTTATCTCTTGTGACTGCCGTAGCCGTCCCGCTGGCGTACAACGAAGTCTTTCTTGCCGATAAAGAAACGAGAGCCAACCGTGCGGAACGCCGACAGACGCTTTTGTTCACTTCCCTACTTCTAGCCCACCCGCTTTTGGCCCTCCACCTCCATCATTTCCTTGGATATATCCCCTCACGCACTAATATATGCTTTCCGTGGTGGTCCTTTACCTTTCCAAAAATGAAAGGAAGGGTCGGCTACTATTGGTGCCTCGCATGGTTGACGGCGTCGTTCGCCTTCCTCCTGCTCGTGGCGTTAGACGTGCGTACACAGACTGCCCTGGGACTGGTCCCTATGCCTCTTAAACTGTGGGAAGTGGTGCTAGGATCGGTGGTACTGGCGTTAGGGGTGTGGATGCACGTTGGAATGTGTGCCGTCTGGTGCGTGGAACGGGGGGAAGACCGGGAGGACGGAGAGAGAAAGGGGGACGAGGCGGAAGGGGGTGTGGGGAGGAATAGCTATGGCGCAGTAGGTGCGAATGTAGACCGCACGCGTGAAGACGACGGGAGAAAGTACAGGGATCTGGAAGAGCAAACTCCTCTGCTGACGTCCACGCACAAAGTAGCTTAGGACCAAAATTTATGTACAACGAGCGGCGGAAGGACCTTTGAATGTATTAAAGGTGATGATTCACCGCAAAGCACGTATTAAGCGCCGAATAAACGACTCCATGAATGCACAGCAAGCAGACTGCTAAGCTCTTGGGGACTCCCTAGGCGCCTCCATCATATCTTTTCTTTCCGTAAATCCTTGCAAACATCGCCACATTTCACGCACACACACATTGCCACGTATACTCTTCTCCCTATTTTCCCCATCCTTCGCGCCGTCCCTTTCCTTCCACTCCAATTTCGTCGCCCTCCCCCCTACTCTGCCGCTTCAGCATCTTTCTCTTCAACGCGTCACTTACCTTTACACAGTGGCGGGGGGCGGCGGCGGGGGAGGAGGCGGCGGAGGTGGAGGAGCGACCAGGCTTCCCGCGGCGCTTCCGTTACCGATCTGGGACGGAGGGGGGGGGGGGAGAGGAGGGGGAGGGGGAGGGGGAGGCCCTCCATCTGCATAAGCCCCGTGCATGTGATACTGCGGGTGATAGTGCTGTTGCTGAGAATAGTAGGCGGATGCGGCGGCCTGCTGCTGTTGGTAGTACGCCGCGTACTCGTATCCCCCCATACCTCCTCCAGCGAGGGAGTTGGCCCCGTAGGGTGCGCCGTGTTGAGGAGGGGGCTGGGCGTAGTGGGAAGCGTAGCCATATCCGCTTCCTGCGGGCGTCTGGTAGTACGGAGAAGGAGCGCCCGTGTGCTGATGGGGCGGTTGACCCCCGCCTGCGGAGGCGCCCGGTGTGTTGTAGTAAGGTGAGGAGGAGGAAGTGGAGGAAGAAGAGCTGGAAGTGTGAGCGGCCGTGGGGGGCGCCGCCGGAGGGGGGGGAGGGGCTGCGTCTTTTTGCTCTTGCCGGGGGGAGGAACGGGGCGGAGGGGGGGCAGCGGAAGAAGAAGGAGGAGGACCCTCGCCCAGCTCGGCCATAAAGTTAAGGTATTCTTGATCCAGCACTTCCTTATTCCCGCTTTGGGCTGACGGAACGGGGAGGAAGAGAAGAATGCAAGGGGAACGAGGTGAGACGACCTGCCCTTCTCCATCCACCTCCCTCGGGCCTCTTGCCTCCCGCGCATCCCATCTCAAACCTACCGCCCGCCTGGCCGCCCATCCTGCAATCGCGGGTGGGATGGGAGGTATCCCCGCAAATCGCGCACTTGACGTTCACCATCTTCACCTGGAGGAGGGACACAAGAGGGATGAAGGGAGGGAGACAGGAAGGTCCATCGAGGCCGATTGGATATAGGGGAAAGGGGCGCAGTCAACAAAGTGTGACGGGAAAAAGCGCGAGAATAGAGGACGCCGGAGTCTTAGCAACGCGGGCGAGATCGAGGTCGGGCGGGGTGGCGGGTGGTACTTACCTTCGTGTTGTGTCGCGTGGGGCATTCAAACTGACGATGACCCTTCTCTCCTGCAATTTAATGCGTACGCCGTGAGCACGAGCCAAGAATAACAACCACACTCCCTGCCATGGTTACATGCTGCTGCTCTCTTTCCTTCTTTAACCACCCTCCCTCCTTCTTTAACCACCCTCCCAAACGTCAATTTCTTTCACCCTCCCTCACACCTACCGCATAGGTTGCAGTACTCGTCTTCGCGGAGCGTGCCATTGATCAGGGCCAGCTGCCTCAGTTGCTGCAGGAAAGGAAGGGCAAGGGGGGTGCCCAAGAGGAGGTGAGACCGGGGCGAGGACGGAGGGGCCTCTGACAGTCGCCTTCAAGAAACCCACAACGCCCCGACCGCCCCCTTTTCTGAATTTTGATCCCTTTCATCCATCCTTTTGCCTTGCCTCTCTTCCTTCATCTCAACCTACCTCCATTTTCTGAGAATTCACAGCGTCGTCGATGGGAATCAGCAGTTTCGCAACCATCTCCGACGCCTTCTCCACCTGGGAAACGGAAAACATCACACGTGAGCCTCCGTTTGGTCCACACAAATACACAACATAATCAAAGAGACGAAAAGGACCGCGATCGTGGAGAAAGCCGGCGCCTCCCCCCCGCTCCATTCTCTCTCCCTCCCTCCCGCAGCATTGCCCCCCCTGCTCTTACGATCTCCTCGGTCTCGCCGCTGACATGGACGTGCAAGTCGTCGAACTGCCGGGAGGGAAAGAGATAAAGCACGTGTGAGTAGACGCCGGTGAGTACGCAAGAGGCAAAGGAAGGGGAACGAGGAGAGGCCGTGATGAGGAATTGAGGGAGGGAGGTACCTCGTCTTGCACGTCCTTGTTCGCTCCAAGCATGCGATTGCGCGAGCCTTCCTTCACAGACCCTGAGAAGGGGGAGAAGCGAGAGGGAAATGAGCCAAGGACGCGTCAGGCAAGCTCTTGGAATGAAGGGAGAAGGGGGGGAAAGAGGGAATAGAAAGGCGGGAACGAAACGAAGGGGGGCCACACACCTTTGCCTCGGATGGATATTTTGGCACCGGTGTCCTTCTCCATCTGCTTTTGCGTGGCCCCGCGAGGTCCGATAATGAGCCCGATAAAGTTGTAGGTCGGAAACTCCTGGGGCGAACGGAGCCGGGAGAGGAAAGAAGAGGGAGGAGGGGATAACGCAGGGCTGAGTTGAAGGGGTCTGACGGCTCAGGTCAACAGCACGTGACATGTCGTCATCTACCACTCTTGCATCTCCTCCCTCCCTCCCTCCCTCCCTCCTATCAATTCAACATACTTTGATGGGAATGTAAAGACGGCGGAAGGGCTTTTGGCGCACGTAGTCAGCCGGGGGGCGGAAGAGAGGGTTGATCTTGAGGAGGCGCTCGATGACATCCTGCAGAGACACGGGGGCAAAAGGGGAGACAGGTGGAAGGAAGACAAAAGGCACGTGGATAAATGTAAAGTCGATCAAGTGCTTGAATCCCCTTCAAAGCAACAGAAGAAGAATGCCCGTTTAATTTTTGGAAAACGTGAGAAGGGGTGGAAGGGTGGAAGGCCAGCGAGCCAGCTTACCTGCCGTTCCTTCTTGAGCGCTGCCTTCATACGCTCTTCCCGCGTGTTCAAACGCTTCCCGTGACTTAAGGAGAAATCAAGGGTGCCAAGATCAGAAATGGGTCGATGCAGATCAAGGAAAGGTGCGCCAGGTCTCTAGAGAGAAGGGAATAGGGCGGGTGCCAGCCACGAGGAAAGGACACGTACCTGTCATAGATAGGAGGCGGAGACGGCGACTTGTCTGGGTTTGACTCCTGGGCCAGCGCGTCCATGGTAACAGTGGCCTGGGGGCGGGAGAAGAGAGGAGAGAGGGAGGACGGGAGGGAGGAGAAAGACGTTGAGTGTGGTGGGGGTTTCCTTGCCACAGGTCGTTCTCAACCCTTTCCTTGCCCACCCCTCCCCAACGACTAACCGTGCGTTGATGGATGTTGTCGAGGCGCAGCTGAAGGGCTATGATCTCCTGGAGCGTGTCCGGATCCATGGAGGAGCTGGGAGTGGCCTCGGGCTGGCTCCACCTGATCCAGGGCACGAGGGGTGGGGGGGGGGAGAAGAGGGAGGGATAGACGGAAGAGAATGCGAGGTAAGGAAGACATGGAGAGGTCCACGGGCACCACTCAGCTCTTCCACCTTACCGTGACTTCTTCTTGTTGCCGTCGGCCCCCCCGTCGCCCCACCGCGACCGCCGTTTGCCCTCCCCTGCTTCCCCCCCTCCGCCCTCCTCCGTGGCCCCCCACCGGCTCCTCCGCTTCTGCTCCTTCTCTTCCTTCTGTGGCTCTGTCGCCTGGGCCTCTGCCGGCTTCTCTATATTCGAGGTGGTCGTCTCTCCCGGACCGGTCCTTCCCTCGTCGGCCTCCTTTTCCTGCTTGCCGTTTTGTGCCTCTCCCCCTTCGTCCACTCCCTTCTCTCCTTCCTTGGGCTTCTCCATATTTGCCTCCAAAATGGCCAGCAAGGCTTCTCCACTCGCGCCTGTGTCCATCCAGCGTAAATAGAGCTTTTGCACGACCCTACGCGTGGCGACAGGGGCAAGGGAGGGAACAGCAGAACGCTTGAGCCGGCCGAGCCACCCTACCGTACGGTCGCCCCTCACTCCATGGGCCTAGACACCTTTCAGTTCCCACCCTGATCACTCACCGCGTATGCTCCCAGGTCAACAAGTCTTGCCAGAATGTGGGGTATGGCCCGAACCGCTCCTTGATACTGTGCGAGCAGGAGAGGGGAGGCAGGGGAAGGGTAGTTTATGAAGACTTACGCCCCTATGAGCTCCAGCCAGTCCATGCATGCGTCGAACTTTACTCCTCCTCAAACAACACTCTCCATTTTGTGGATGGGTTCGAATGCTCTCACTCTCCTCGTCGTTAGTATCCCCTGTCCCGGTCACCCCGCATCCGTCACATTCCACGACCAAGGTTTCTACTCCCACCGGTGCCGTGCTCCTCGCAAAAGCATCCACGAATGTACAAAGTAGAGCACCGACAAAACGAGCATCCCTCAAGGTCTTTGTCGACCTCCCGTTCTACCAACCTGCTCGCCTCCCCTCCGTGAAACCACGTCTTCATCGGACCATGCAAGCTCTGTAAAAGTGCCTTGCGCTCCTGCTCCTCCTCGTATGCGTACGTATCCGCATTGCCACCATCAGACGCCATGACTGCCGACGAAGACGCAGGAAAGAGGGAAAATGGATGAGTGGGGTATTAAAGCCTCGTGGAGTTAGAAAGCGCCGGAGAATGCGATGACGGGCCTTTGGGGCTCACACGCTTCTTCCGTCAAAACTCCCGCTTGGGGCATGGCCGTACGGTGTCAGAAGACAACATGTCCTTAGGGTGTGGATCTTGGAAAATGGACAGGCAGGACGTGTATTGCTCCATGTGTGGCATGGTTTTTGACCTCTTGTCTTTACCTTCACCTCCTCGGCAAGCGGCTCTCGCACGTGACGGCGAGAAAAGGAGGAACGTCAAGGGTAACACAAAGGCCCACCGATAAAGGTTCCCAGGGTCATTCCCTCGTGTCACATTACGATTTTGCATGCATCTCTCGTACGATGCGATGGTTTTGGGGCGATGACCACGCAAGTGTCTTGCTGTTTCCTCGTGGTAGCGCGGATGCCGAGGATGTCACATACCCCGCCAGCCACTTCCCTTTCCTTTATTACAGCCTACATGATCTTTAATCCACAAAACACACACCAATAAACACTTGAAACCGGACAGGAACTTAAAAGGTTCTACGGACGATGGAAGCGAAGGCGGCGGTGTAGGATACGCTTTCCATCGGGTTTTCATCAGAAGTGCTTCGTTTTTCATCGACTTCTGTACCGGAATGCGTTATTCTTTTCGAGGAATTCCAACATCAAGACTTCCAGTACGCCGCAATTTTTTGTAGCATTTGCAGACATTTTTTCTACCTCTATCATCCTACCTTGCTGCAGCTAGCCTAGATCTTTAGTTCCGAAGAGTTCCCGACCTCCATCCTTGCATTCCTTTGTTGAAGTCTCCTTCCCCCCCTCCTAGACATTCTGGACCTTGAATAGCCCTGCCCGACGATGCCTCCATCGCCTCCTTCTCCTCGCAGCCGCATCCAGGGCGATGCCTACGAAGACGCGGGTTTGAGATCATCACACGGCGTGACGAAAGGTGCTGCCCGGGCCCTTCTCCGCATGGGGGTCATCACTCGCCGCGAATACGCTCAGCTCTTAGCGGCCTCCGCCCTCGTCAAACAGCCTCCCTCCTCCTACTTGTCGGGTCTACCCCTCTCTGCTTCGGCCCGTGTTGCCCTATCTTCCCCCCGAGCCCCCCGGCGGGAACCACCTCGGCGCGTCTGCCCGATCAGCTTGGAGCCCGTCTGCGCCGAGGCGACAGGAAGCCACTCCTTCTGCTTCTCTACTCTGCCTGCTGAGGGCGAGGGGGGAGGACAGGAGGGAGGGAGCGACAAAGAGAGGGCGTGCGTGGTGTGGTACGACGTTCGGGCGCTTTGCAGCTACTTGATTGCCACGGGCAACTTTGTCGAACCCACCAGCCGGCGACCGATCGGCGCGAAGGACGTGGAGGTGAGAGGAAAGGAGGGAGGAAGTAGTAAGGGAGGAAGGGTTCATGGATGATCCGATCTTGGGTGCACGGGAGTCAGGGAGGGATGGAGGAGCCCAGCGGTGCCTCCCACCCTCCGGGCTTGTGGCAGGGGAAAGGCAGGGCGATGGGGATGTTCAGTCGCGCGACATGCTTGTGTGGCTAACCACCCGCCGGCTGTTTGGACATGTCACAGGTGTTGGCTAGCAAGCTGCTGCAACTTGGGGAGAAGGAGATGGAGGAAAAATTGTGCTCGACGTTTGCGTCCTCAGCCAGGTATGAGGGAGAAAGGGGAAGAGTGAGAGTCGGAGGGAGGCAGTGAAAAGAGACAGCAGAAAAGTGTTGACTTGTGGATAATTGCATTTCAAAAACTTTGCCGTCTTGTACACTCGCCGCACTCGCTCTCTGACACCTCCCTTCTTCCTCCCCTTCTTCCCTCCCTCGCTCCTTCCCTCGCTCCCTCCCGCGCCCACTCC